TCGGCAGGAAGGTGACCCTATGACAGAATTCATCAGATCTGCCGTGCTCCGAACCACTAAGCAGCAATGAGAGTGCAGAAACATATCAGCAACAGCAGCCGAAAAAAAGAAGTTGCCAAAAAATGCAAGCTTGCGAAGCGCTCATCTCATTCTTTTCTAGCGTGTTGCAGATGCCGACCTTCACCATGCAGTAACCACAACGCCGCATCTGAATGGTACTCGGAGCCTGGGGTATCACTATGGTTTGTTCTTCACTCTTGCCTGCCTGCAAAAAAACAGGGAGTGACAACGGAGGTTTTGGGTGTCGTTGTCTTGCCATAACTGAGCTGTCTGGATCTTTTCGCTTGACAGTTACACAGTGCTGGTTATCTCTATAATTAAGAAGGTTAAACAAAATCATTCCTTAGAATTCCTGCAGAAGCTGCAGACAGTTAAGGTACAGTGAGAGAGAACAGGCTGCTGTAGCCATCGGAAGAACGTTTGCACTGAGGCAGAAATAAACAAGGTTAGATTTCACTTCCAAGCACAATAATGATGTCTTCAGCACATGCAGTGCTACCTGCTTGTAACACAACCAACATTTATATTAATGATGGATGACTAAAATTGATAATGCTTTTGTCCTACACAAACGGTAAGGCACTGAACCTGGAGTAGACTACCTCTCAGTTACAAAAACTTTGCATTTCTAGTTACCTCACTGTAACTTGTGCATGCATCCTCTGAGAGGGCAACAAATCTATAAACAGTTCGATAAACATCGAGCTGCAGAGAGCACTTTTTTGCAAGCTTGCTGTTCAATTCGGGTTTTCTGCACTTGTACCGCTTACGGAACGGATACGTGACCTATTTTACGCTAACCACTGCTAAGCTGTACTGCAGCTTCTGCTGCGCGCTCTCGTGGCACGGTGTCACTGCAAGGGGAACTGCCCTTACAACGGGCGCCTGGTGCAGAAGATGCGCTCAAAGGCAGGTCAGAACCCTCCTGCTCTTACAGAACATGAACTGCAGCCTGGCTGGCCTGATCGCCAACGGCCTGGGTACGTTCCCCTGTGTCCCAAGTGCAACAGGAACTATTTCAGATTGACCAAAAAAAAAAAAAGCCTATAATTTTATCCCCTCACCACTCGCAGGGCTCTACCTTCACTTCCTCTTCTGACTTAACAAAGCCCGGATCCATGAGAGACACCTGAAGGTACAGCAGGACAGAGCACAAGACCAGGGCGACGAAGACCAGCGGCTGCAGCAGCTCTCCGCGCTCCTCCCGCTCCCGCAGATCTGAAAGGTACCCCAGAAGCAGAGCAGGAGCTCCTCCTCGCCATCTCAGCTGCCTTCTC